ACCTTCACCCCCGGGTCTCTCGGCCTGCGCTGTCCCCAGCCTTACTGTGGACAGGGAAGGTTGGCGATGCGTCTGTGTTCCGTGTCTGGGGATCTCGGGCGTTTGTCCGCGACTTGTCTGCGGACAAGCTGTCCCCTCGTGCTGCTCCCTGTGTCTTCCTTGGCTTCCCCACTGACGCCCCAGGGTGGCAGTTTTACCACCCCTCCTCTCGTCGTGTTCTGTCCTCCCAGGACGTCACGTTCGACGAGTCAGTCCCCTTCTACCGTCTCTTCCCCTACCGCACTCCTTCCCTCCCCCCTCCCCCGGACTTCCTTGTACCGGTTCCCCCCCCGGTAGAACCCCCTTCCCCCTCAGGTTCCTGCCCCCTCAGGTGTGTCCCAGGTAGACGCCGTTGACCCGGTCGAGGTTACAGGTGACTCTGGTGCTGCTGCGGGTGTTGAGCCTGGGGGTGCTGACTCTGGGGGTGCTGTGCGCGGGGGTGCTGAGCCTGGGGGTGCTGACTCTGGGGGTGCTGTGCGCCGGGGTGCTGAGCCTGGGGGTGCTGACTCTGGGGGTGCTGTGCGCGGGGGGTGCTGAGCCTGGGGGTGCTGCCTCTGGGGGTGCTGTGCGCGGGGGTGCTGAGCCTGGGGGTGCTACTGCTGGGGGTACTGGGCCTGCGGGTGCTACTGCGGAGAGTGCGGAGCCTGGGGGTGCTGTGTCTGGAGCTGCTGAGCCTGGGGTTTCTCCTGCTGCTGCGTCTCGCCGGGAGCCCCTCTCTCCACAGGAGCTGCGCGAGTGGTTCGCTCGCCGCTGGAGGCGTGCTGCTGAGTCTGGAGGTGCTGCTGGAGCTGGAGCTGGAGCTTCTTCGACCGTCGAGGGTGCGGGTGCTGCCGGTCCCGGAGCTACTGGACCTGCGGGTCCTCCTGGAGCTGGAGCTGCTGAGGGCGTTGGGGCTGAGCCTGCTGCTGTTGGTCCTGCCGCTGGAGGTGTGGGTGGCGCTGGTGCTGTCTCTGAGGGCGCTGGTGCTGTCCCTGCTGCGTCTGGAGCTGCTGAGCCTGGGGTTTCTCCTGCTGCTGCGTCTCGCCGGGAGCCCCTCTTTCCACAGGAGCTGCGCGAGTGGTACGCTCGCCGCTGGAGGCGTGCTGCTGAGTCTGGAGGTGCTGCTGGAGCTGGTGCTGGAGCTTCTTCGACCGTCGAGGGTGCGGGTGCTGCCGGTCCCGGAGCTGCTGGACCTGCGGGTCCTCCTGGAGCTGGAGGTACTGAGGGCGTTGGTGCTGAGCCTACTGCTGTTGGTCCTGCCGCTGGAGGTGTGGGTGGCGCTGGTGCTGTCGCTGAGGGTGCTGGTGCTGTCCCTGCTGAGTCTGGAGCTGCCGCGCGGCCTCGGCCGTACTTCGTTCCGCTCCTACAGCAGGTTCTTAGTCTTTCTCCTTCGGTAGAGTGTCCACAGCCTGTCCAGTCGCAGTCACTGTTGGAGCCTTCCTCTCCTCTGCCTGCTCCCTCTCCTTACACTGGTCCTACGGGAGGTCTTGCTGAGCGTCGTGAGCCTGCGTCTCGTCCCGCGTCGCCTGTTCGTGCTGCTCGCGCTAGTGGTCGCGGTTCGCGTCAGCGTCCTCCTCCTGTCCCTGGCACGCACCGGATGTCTCTGCGTCCGTCCACTGCTCCTCTGCGTGCCCCTTTGCCTTCGCCTCCTGAGTCCTCTCTTCCTGCGCTTGCCGACCCTGAGTCGGACTCTCTTCGCGCTGCCAGTCCTACTGTCATGCGTCTGCTTGCTACTGTCGTCACTGACCCCTCGTTTGAGTCCACTGCTGCGTCTGCTCTAGTCGCTGAGCTCGTTGACTTTGCTGCTCGCTGTCGTCTCGACTACGCTGCTGGTCTTGTTGCTGAGTCTGCGTCTGTCTGTCCTCCGTCCGTCGGGGGTGAGTGTGCTCTTGGCACGGACGTCCTAGAGGACAGACAGGAGGAGTTACAGTGTCTAGCGGCTGCTTCACCTCATCTCGCGTCTGTACTGCTTGCCCCTGAGGGAGACCCGGATGCACTAGACATCCCGACTCCGCGTTCTTACGCGGATGCCGTAGAGGGTCCCTACTCCTCTCAGTGGCAGGCAGCTATGGATGCAGAGATGGCTTCCTGGAAGTCCACAGGCACCTACGTTGACGCAGTTCCCCCTCCTGGGGCGAACATCGTCAGTGGCATGTGGATCTTCCGGGGTGAAGCGGCCGCCGGGCTCTCCACCTGTCTTCAAGGCGCGGTACGTTGCTCGTGGCTTCAGTCAGCGGCAGGGAGTTGACTACTTTCAGACCTTCTCTCCCACCCCGAAGATGACCACTCTTCGGGTGCTGCTGCACATAGCCGCTCAGCGCGACTACGAGCTTCACTCTCTCGACTTCAGCACTGCGTTCCTGCAGGGTAGCCTGCACGAGGAGATCTGGCTGCGCCGTCCACCTGGCTTCACTGGGACTTTCCCTCCTGGCACCCAGTGGAGCCTCCGACGGCCAGTCTACGGTCTCCGCCAGGCACCGCGTGAGTGGCACGACACACTGAGGACTACGCTTGCGGCTCTTGGGTTTGCTCCTTCTACTGCTGACCCGTCGCTGTTTCTGCGCACCGACACTTCACTGCCGCCGTTCTACATCCTCGTGTACGTCGACGACTTGGTCTTTGCCACAGCGGACACTGCTGGACTCGCCTACGTGAAGTCCGAACTGCTGAAGAGACACACGTGCACAGACCTGGGTGAACTGCGCAGCTACCTTGGCTTGCAGATCACTCGGGACAGAGCACGCCGCACCATTACCTTGACTCAGTCACACATGGTGCAGCAGGTCCTTCAGCGCTTCGGCTTCACGTACTCCTCGCCTCAGGCCACTCCTCTGCCTACTCGCCACTCACTCTCAGCTCTGCCTTCGGATGAGTCCGTAGAGTCGAGTGGTCCGTATGCAGAGCTTGTTGGCTGCCTCATGTACCTGATGACCTGCACACGACCTGACCTTGCATACCCTCTGAGCATTCTTGCACGCTATGTTGCTCCTGGGAGACACAGACCAGAGCACATGGCTGCAGCGAAGAGGGTATTGCGCTACCTGTGCAGTACGTCGGGCATGGGGCTTGTGCTTGGAGGGCGGAGTCCAGTGGTCCTTACCGGCCACGCGGACGCTTCTTGGGCTGACGACCAGACTACGCAGCGGTCGTCACAGGGTTACACCTTCAGCCTTGGTTCCGGCTCTGTCTCGTGGCGGTCTACTCGCTCGTCTTCGGTTCTCGGCTCCAGTTGTGAGGCTGAGATCTACGCCGGGGCCATGGCTGCACAGGAGCTTCGCTGGCTCACCTACCTGCTGACTGACCTTGGAGAGCCGCCTCGTTCTCCTCCAGTGCTGTACGTAGACAACAAGGCCATGCTGGCCTTGTGTCGAGAGCAGCGCTTGGAGCACAGAACGAAGCACCTTGCTCTCCGCTACTTTCTTGCTCGTGAGCTGCAGCAGCGTGGTCAGTTGCGACTTGCGTACGTGGCCTCTGAGGCCAACACTGCTGATGTGTTCACCAAGGCACTCGCGCCTTGTGACCATCAGCGCTTTTGCACCCAGCTGGGTCTTGTGCCTGTCTTGCCTCACTTGCTCTCCTCTTGACTTCACTTGTACTGTGACATATATATATACCTGCTCTTGCTTGTCTAGTTTTATATATATGTCTGTACTCCTGCATGTGAACTGGCCTCTGGCCCTGCTCTTGTGCTCGGACTGTGTGGTGACTTTGTGATCCACCCTGAGCTTGCTTTGCTTTGCTTGACTGGTCTTGTGACCCCTTGTTCTCCCCCACTTTGCCTATGGGGGTGTGTCAAACATTATATATTTTATGCTTGTGTAGGCTACAGTGGGTTAGCCTATAGGGGGTACACAATTCTAGGGTTTCCTACTTGTACTCATTTCACTGCTAGTTTCATTCATTCCTGTTCGCTTATTCTCACAAGAAGCCCGCCGCGCGCCTCGGGGCGCACAGCGAGCAGAGAACCGCCGCGCGCCTCAGGACGCACGGCGGGCATAAAACCGCCGCGCGCCTCGGGGCGCACGGCAGGAGTAAAAAAAAAACTGCCGCACGCCACGGGGCGTGCGGCACAGAGAGTAGCAGTAGCAGTTGCAGCGGAAGCAACAAGGTGGTGAGCCCACCCACAGGATCGATCCAAGAGGATCGACCTGCTCTGATAGCATGTGAAAGTTAGAAGAAAGAAGAGGATTGAACTAGCAAGAATGGGGATACAAATAGCAAACCCTAGAAGGGTTGTACTCGCTATAGAGCACCCCACTACAGGCTAGAGCATAACATTCTGACAGAGGCCGCTAAGGGGCCGTGAGGGTCCGTGAGGGCGGCGCAACGGGGCCGCTAGGGGCCGTGAGAGGGGAGACCCACGGGGCGCGACCCGGGCAGGGACTGAGTGCGCTCCGGGCAGGAAAAAAAAATCGGTGGGCCCTAGGAACAGTTCCCACGAGGGAACCTGCTCGATACCATGAGAAAACTAGAACGAGAATGATTGCATTGAGCAGCATGAGGAGTACAAGTACCAAACCCTAGTGTTGTACCCCATATAAGCTACCCCACTACAACCTACACAGACGATAGTATATGAGTTTGACACCTTCTCACCTACAGTTCATTTAGGCTGTGTCTTCGCATATCTGTCTATTTCGTTTTCTCCTTTGCTCCTTTCTTACACTGACGACTCCTCCATTTCCATTTAAGTACCATCTAACTTGATTCTTATTTCATTACATCCTTTCCATTTGCATTTGCGCCTGTGGTTCTTGTTGCCGTGGCCGTGGACTACAAGAACGTCGTCGTTCAGATATGTAGAACCGCAGTGGTGAGTTCTTGCTTTTCTCCGTCCGATTTTCCGTTTCTTTCGTTTATGTTTCCTTGCTAGTAATTGTTTCCCTTCCTTTTCTTCTACATCCATACTATCGCGTCAATCTTTGTTTCCTTATCCTGGACCTTGTAATCTTGGATTTTCTTTTTTAGCACAATCTTTTCAACTAGAATGGTCTAAAGTAGCGAAATTCTTTGGTGCAACAATCTTTTGTTCGTAGTTGCATCGATTCTTCGTTCCTCTTAGTTTCTGCACCACCTCGTGTTTCTCTCTTCCCCCCTGCATGTGCTCTCTCTGCTTCCTCGTTCTCTCTCTCTCTCTCTCTCTCGTTCTCTCTTTCGTTCTCTCTCCCGTTATCTCTCTCTCGTTCTCTCTCTCTCTCTCTCTCTCTCTCTCTCTCTCTCTCTCTCTCTCTCTCTCTCTCTCTCTCTCTCTCTCTAAATGCCCATTTTGGAGTGCAAAACGTGGGCTGGAGGTCATTTCCCTCCACCCACGTCTTTCATTTTCAAACGGCTTAGCCTAGTTTCCGAGTTCCCAATTTCAAGCTGGCGAAATTGAAGTCACTACCTCGTTTCCAGTCTCCGTCGACACTCCTTTCGGACATTTTCGCTCATAACGCGGCTACTATTGCACTTAACGGCGAGAACGGTGACAACGCCAACGCTTCAATTCGTCCCAACGACGGACATACTACCCGCGAACCCGCGGGCGAACGCCGGAACAAGCGTCGGGCAGACGACGAGGAGTCGACCCCGACCGCCGTCGACATTCTGCTGTCCGACGTCGCTGGGGCACGCGCCCCTGGTGTGCCTCGAGCGCAAGTGGCCCCTGAGGGGCCTGAGGCGCCGGCAGTCAACGAGGGCGCCAAGTCAACGCCGGCCAGCGCGACCGGCACCCCCCGTCAGCGTCAGCGCCGCAGGCAGGCACACGCGCCTGACGCGAGGCCTCAGGCGCACGTGGGCCCTGACGCGCCTCAGGCCCTTGACGCGCCTCAGGCCCCTGACGCACCTGTGGCCTCGCCTGTCTTCACATCGGCCCAACTGCAGCAGCTGTTGTCCCTGTTACAGCAGCAAGCTCCCGCCGTTACGGACACCAACGCTACACCAAACGAAACGTCAATTTCTGCTAAAAGCGCGAAGGAAAAAAGGGAGACGGTGAAACGCGCTCGCACGGCAAAAATCGCACGCGCCGAGGGCACCACCGCCAAAGCTACCCCGGCCCCAGAAAACCCTGCCGACAGCAACACTTCCGACGACGAAGCTGGTGAGGCACCTGCCGATAATGCATTTTTTTCAACCACCGAGCACCTCCCCCCCCTCCCTACCTCCAACCCCAACCTCACCGCATCTTCCTTCAAGAACGGCGCTGTTCGTGAACAAGCCGAGCTCCTTGAGGACCTGCGTGCCTACCTGATGCATGCGGAGCAGAAAGTGCGGCTCAACAAACCGGCAAGCGCCATCGAACTCCTCGAGGAGGCGCTCTCGCTCGTCAATAATCGTTTCAAGCTTCTCCACGTCGCCGATTACACGAATTTCCGCATCGCTAACCGGTTCAAGATGTATGAAGAGAAGAGCTTGTTCACCTCGCGCCCATTCAAGCAAGCCATGGCGGACGTTGCGGCCATGGAACGCGCCCAAGGCAACCCCGGCCGCGCCGCACGAGGTGGAGGGCGAGGAACCGGTGCATTTGGCAACAAACGTGGTCCACCAATGGACAACAACATCAGGAGCTTTCGTGGAACCTGCTTCAAGTGCGGTCAGCCCGGCCACATGGCCAATATGTGCCCCGATAATGGGCAAGGGGCCCAAGGACCCGCGCCGGTGGTGTGACCCTATGAGAGGGAAACCACTTGGGGCGCCGAGAGCACGTTGCATGGGCAACATGGTGTGCTTAGGCCGATGGCCAGACCCTGCGGGGCGAGTAGAATGGCCGCCGGCCGACCCCTAGGGAAGGGAGTAGGACTAGGAGTCCTAGGACTTAGCCATGGGTGGCAATGATGAGTTGTATGCGTGTTAAAGCATGAAATATGGGCCGGAGTGGCAAGTAATGTGGACAATCGTTGATGTGTGGCTTAATGAATGAGATTTAAAATATTGAAACCTGGATTATTGAAACAAGCAGCCCTCGGAGAGTGAGGCCTAAGCGGTTGAGGTACTAAAAAAAAAAAAACAAACAAACAAAAAAAACTGGATAAGACGAGAAAGAAAGAAAGACAAGGAGAAGTGTGAGATGATGAAGATGTTGACTGTTAAGGAGGCCACACTATTTGGCCAGCACCGGCCCAATTTAACGGGACACGAGAGGGCCGCCTGCGCGACAAGCGCACAAGGAGGGCATACAAAGCATATTACTACGCGCAATTGACACGATGGGCAAAGAGCCCACGAGACAAGGCACGTTATCATAGAAAATGTGCAAAGCACAACCCGACAGCCCACCTCGAGCTCGTCCAACATCGAGAGCCCTCGGGTGCACATACGGCAAGCCTAAGGTCGTGTATATTAGGTGTTGACAGACAAAAAAAAAAAAAAAAAAACAACAACAACAACAACAACAACAAGGGAGAGAGAGGCGAACATATCAATATGAAAGAGAAGTGGAAGGGTGGGTCAATGGCCCACCTCGTGAGGGTTCGGCCATACACCGCCCCGTTGTTCGCTAGTACATGCACTCGTATTAATAGCAACTAGAGCTAATGCCAAAAAAAAAAAAAAAAAAAAAAAAAAAAAAACGCCTTCACAGCCTGTGTCCTTTTTGCGACCCCTTGCACAGATCCACTGGATGGCGGTATGGGCAAGCGACACATCCCCTACGAATACGCTATCACAGATAAGCTCGTCACACGGATGTGCGGTCGGCTACGCTTGGCATTCCCATGGTGGAGCTCATGGTGCGACAGCAGCTTCATACTCTCAGTGATATTTCACGGTTACTGGATGCCGTGGGAACTCATCCCCCCGGCGCCATTCCAGCGCGACAATCACGCGGGCGCACAGATCCACGCCCAGTTTACCAAACAGGCTATTAGCGAGCTCCTAGAAAGCGGCGCAGCTGCTCTTGCACCCGCGGCTCATACCGTATGCATTAGCCCACTGAACGTGGTGGTCCAAAGAGAGAAACGCCGACTGATCCTCGACCTCCGCCAAGTGAACCTGCACCTGCGCATTCCAAAATTCAAGTACGAGGGGCTCAATCGGGTTGCGGAGATCGCTCGCATGGGCGACTGGATGTTCTCTATCGACCTAAAGTCTGGGTATCACCACGTGGATATTCACCCATCGTGCTGGAAGTACCTGGGATTTCGATTTGACAGAAAGACATACATATTCCGCTCGCTCCCGTTCGGCCTCGCGACGGCCCCATTCGTTTTTACTCAACTTATCAAACAACTCGCTCGGCGCTGGCGAGTCATGGGCATACGGGTCATTCCTTATATCGACGACATCCTCTTCCTTTGTGACACGGAAGCAAAAGCACGAGCCACATGTCAATCAATCATACATGACCTCAACAAGGCAGGGCTTGTGATCAACTCGAAAAAGTTGCATCTACAACCGACCCAGCAGTTGCGTTTCCTAGGCGTCGGGTTAGACACTGACCGTGATCAGTTCTCTATCGGCGCTGAACGTTGAGCCTCACTACTCTCCACCCTCCAAGTCCTTCAGAGGGACGGAAAGGCAGAACGCAAGGTCCCAGTCCGTCACATCGCCAGAGTCACCGGCATGCTGGCTTCCATGTCACTGGCTCTTGGGGCGACGACACGAGCGTTCAGTCAAGGCCTACTGCAGGCAATCCAGCAGGCACCATCATGGAATAGTAAAGTGCTGCTGGACCCTATGGCGATTAAAGAACTGGAATTTTGGCGCCACGAGTTCGACAAATTCAACGGCGCCCCATTTCACGTCCCCAACAGCTACGATGCTGTCATCCATGTGGATGCCAGCGCACACAGTTGGGGAGCGACGTTGGACAAGTTCCCAGGACGGCGTATCGAGGCAAGTGCGGCAATGCCGAAGCATCTGCTAGAGTCATCCAGCACGCAGCGAGAGATAGATGGCGTTCTATGGTCACTCCAAACGTTTTCAGAAAGCATCCGCGACCAGCACGTCCTCGCAAGGACCGATAACCAAGGCGTCTTCTTCATCCTTCGAAAAGGTGGTTCAAGGCACACCAACCTTACAGCGACGTGCAAGTTGATAATCCAGACATGCATGACTTTTCGGATTCGGCTCATGGTCGAATGGATCCCGCGCGAACTAAACACACGGGCGGATGAACTCTCCAAGGCGCTCGATCGTGACGACTACTCACTAAAGACACCTTGGTTCCGGCTCATCGAGCGCCGCCTGGGCCCGCACTCAATTGATCTATTCGCAAATGGGAGCAATACCAAGCTACCTCGGTTCTGCTCCAAAACACCGCACCCAGACGCAGCGGCAGTTGACGCATTTTCGATCCCATGGACCTCCGAGCAGGGATACGCATTCCCTCCACCACACTTAATCCCAACAGTGCTCCACCACGCGAAACGAACTCGCGCCGCCATCACTCTCGTCACGCCTTGCTGGCCTGGCGCAAGTTGGTGGCCCCTACTGCAACCCTCCCCTCCTCAATGGGCCACCTACATTCACACCCACCTCCACCTCACGCACGGTAGCCAGTGCCTGACGGCAGGCAATCACTCCAGCGCCTTCTCTGCGGAGATAACTACTACAACGGGAGCTTAGAGTACTGGCTAGGCACGTGTGCTCGTGTGATGTCTGCGTTCGTTGGTCCTTAGACGTTTTCCTAGTGCTCACACTGCTTGCTAGTTCATGGGGCAATTTGGCAAGAGTTTCACTAGAGAACGTTGTCAATAATGGTACAATGAAGTTGGCAATGCAAGACTACATCAGAGCTAGCATTCAGGTTGGTCGACTGCCAGCACAGCATGGTCAACCGCGTTCCAGCACGACTTGGTCGACTACGCTACAGCAGTGCAAAGTCGACGGCTTGCCAACGCTGCAGGTTGACGGTGTGCCAGCATTGCTCACGCAGGACAGCAGTGCACCCGCTTTGCAGGTGCGCGCAGATGATTGGCGTGCAAAGTCTCGTCACCTGCACAGCGCACACACCACGTCAACCTCGGGCTAGCGACTGCCTCTGATCCGCCACGACGACCTCGGGATACCACCATGGAGGTCGGTCTCGCCAACTTCGCCTGGGTGACCGTCGCACTCCTTCGCAGAACCTCGTCACCCAGGTATCCTGGTCGACCGGGGCAACTTTGTCGACCAGCTGCTCCTGTATGTGCTCGTCGACCTCCCAAGTCGACAACCACACCAAGTCGACCTCACCAGGTCGACCACTCCTCCGGTCGACCAGATCTAGGTCGACGTCACTCCTGGTCGACCAGTGCAGTTGTCAGCCGACCACCCAAGTCTGCTACCCAAAGTCGGCGTCACCAGGTCGACACCCCTTCTACGTCGGCGCCGACTTCCAGACTGACCTCTTGAAGTTGGCGACCTCCCAAGTCGGCGACCTCCCAAGTCGGCGCCGACGTGCAAAGTCGGTGACCTTGCAAGTCGGTGACCTTGCGAGTCAGTGACCTTGCAAGTCGGTGACCTTGCAAGTCGGTGCCGACTTCCAGGTCGACGTGCCACATCGCCGACCACCAGTTGAAGTCGGCCGCCGTCTTCCCAAGTCGGCGGCATTGCAGTGGCGCCGTGCAAGTCGACCAACCCCGTTGACCAGCTCGTCCAAGTCGGCGTCCCCACTTCTGCAAGTCGGCTGTACCTTCCGTACACCCCACCACGAAGTCGGCTCCGCCCAAGCGTGGACGGGGCCAACACACAACTCCCGTTGACACTCCCCTGCCGCGTTCACGCTTGGTCCCCCCAAGTCCACTCGGCAGTACTCCTCGGAGAATAGCTCGTCGACGTGCACCCAACACACAGCACGTCGTCCACCGCACCAGCCATGCAAGAGGGCATGACACCTACTGCTGCACGTTGTCATCTTCGTCGCCCACGTCGGCCAAGCGCACCTGGCCGATGGCGACGGAGCACCGGTTGAAGGCCGGATAGTGCAGCGCCTTCGTCAGGAAGTCGGCCGGCTGCTCAGTGGTCGGGATGTACCTCAGCGAGAACTTCCCGCGCTTCACCATGTGCTGCAGCCAGGCCTGTCGCCGCTCCATGTGCTTGAGGTTGCCCGTCAACCCCATGCCCTCGACGACTGTGATGGCCGACTTGTTGTCCACCCGAAGGACGGTCGGCTTCCCGGCATCCAGCTGCCGGAACTCTGCAAGGAGGAAGCGAAGTCGGCGTCCTTCCTTGCCGGCTTCGGTGGCTGCCACGTACTCCGACTCAGTCGACGACAACGTCGCACACTTGATGCGCTGGCTCGACCAGGAGACTGCGGCCCCTCCATAGACGAACATGTAGCCACCCGTGCTCGTCCTGTTCTGCTTGTCACCGGCGTCGTCGGCGTCCACGTAGCCGACCAGCTCCAGCAACTCAGGTCCACCGCCGAACTCCAGTGCGGTGTCGCGCGTATTGGCAAGGTAGGCGAGGCAGCGGTCGACCTCACGCCAGTGCTGGTCGCTCCTCACTGTGAGGCCGCTCCCCAGCTTGCTGCAGGCGAAGGCGATGTCCGGCCTCGTCGTCGTCGCCGCGAACTGCAGCGAGCCGACCTTCTGCCGGTACTCCTCTTCCTGCCGCTCCTGTGCCTCCTCGTCATCGAACGTGAGCTCGGCGTAGGCATCGACCGAGACCGGCGTCTTCGGGGTGCGCCCGGTCTGCTCCTCGTCGATGAAGCGCCTACGAAGCTTGTCGGCATAGCCCTGCTGGTGCAACCACAGCTTCCTCGCCGACCTCTCGCGGACGATCTCTAGCCCGAGGTACTTCTGCACCGGCGAGATCTCACGCAGTTCGAAGGCGGCTTCCAGCAGCTCCTTCAGCTCCTTCAACATCGCGGCGCTACCGCTGGCGGCAAGTAGGTCGTCGACGTAGACCAGCACCCAGCAGGCCACTCCGTCCTTTCCGTCCTTGAAGTAGAGAGCCTCATCGACCTGGCTCTTCTTCCACCCGGCGCCGACCAGCACGTCATTGAGCGCCAAGTACCATAGCAGCGGCGACTGCTTTAGCCCGTACAGGCTCTTTAGCAGCTTGCATACCCGGCCGGGTCCCGTCGTTGAAGTAGTCCGGCTGGGACATGTAAAGCACCCTGTCGAGCTTGCTTTGCAAGAAGGCGTTCTTCATGTCGAGCTGCATCAGGTTGAGGTTGCGGACGGCGACGATGCTGAGGAAGATCCTCAGTATGACGTAGCTGCCCACCGGCACGAACGTCTCGTCGTAGTCGGCGCCGTACACCTGCGTGAAGCCCTTCACAACCAGCCTCGCCTTCTCGCGCTCGACGGTGTCGTCGACGTGGTACTTCGTCGTCAACACCCACCGGTTCTTCATGACGTTCACTCCCGGCGGACGTTCGACCAACTCCC